TTTTATCAACCTTCACGTCATTTGCATCTCATCCCTAATTTACATTTTCATTAAAGAGTGGTCCTCACAGCCCAAAGAAATAATTGGCACCTTCTTTGTGACCAGGAGTTTGAGGGGCTCCCCCATCTCCAACACAAACACATGCAGGTCTGGGTACAACATCTCATAAGCCAGGGCTGCCATGCACTCTCCCCTTCATCTGCATGACATCAAACAGGAGATGTGAGGAGCTCCTTACCCGGTGAAATGAAAGAAGGAAGTTTCTTTTTCCCCTGACAGAATTTAACGTTTGTGGAATTGTGGCCCACAGGGAGACATTCTTCCTTCTAAAGACCAGCAAAGACATTCTTTGAACTGGGTAAAGATTTGTATTTAACAAAACACCAACCTGAAGATCATGAAAGATTAATGATCCTCACTGAGTCTGCAGCATTTTGCAGATACAAGTGTTCGAAGGCTGAATGGTTGGCATTCACAGCTGTTTTTTGCATTGTGTCAGGCAGGTAATTGAAAATGTGTGTCATCTGGGCTTTCTTTTTTGTGAACAAATGTGTCTGTATTTTAAGTTCTCAGAACAAACATAAGTACAAGACGAAATTTTTCCAGCCTTCTAAATTTCCCACGAAAGTACCTCCAGCCATAGTAGAAGTGCAGTACAATAAAAACCATGTCCCCCAACTGCAAGGAAGGACATGCTGGGATTCCCACTGAAGGGCTGCCATCCAGATCTGTGCCTGTCTCTGTGCAAGGCGTGTTCTTGTTATAAATAATGGACATACAGCAGGAGGGGAAGCCTCTCTCCCAAAATTATCCACATTCAGGGGCTCAAAACATAAAGGGGCCTATAGTTTCTGTATAGAGACTGGGGATGAGTTTCATATAACATGGGCAAAGGATCACATGCTGTAGAAAGAATGTAAATCATTTGATGTTATATGTTATCATATTATGGTTTTTAGAGGTTTATTTTCTCAAGGAATGCCTTCATCTAGTACACCAATCCCTAACTCAAGTAGTAACACCTGCTAAAGGTTTGTGTGAGAACTCTAACAGAAGTACATACTGTAAATAGTGGAAGTCTATTCTTTTGCATTGTTTCAGAGCTCTGGCAGGTTATGCACAGTGTGTGTAGTCAACTTTGCCCCAGGGGAAACCATAAACACATATTGCAGAACAGTGGTATGAAAAAAGGAAGAAGAGCCTGGCAAATCTCTTATTGAGACTGAAAATATCTAGGCCTTCTAAATACATGGTAAATGTTGAACAAAGAATCTTATAGAACATAGAATTTTAGAAAATGCCCATTTTCAGATCAATAATAAAGCATTGCCAACATGTTGACTTGTTTATTGTATTGCAGGAGATTGTGAACTGATACTTCTTTCGCACTCCTTGTCGGCTCGTGAGCATGAAATTTCCCCTTTAGTGCCAGATCTTTGTGAGGTACTTTAACATCAGATAGTGCCACAAAATGCTTGGAAACTGAATGGAGGATCATGACTATGGACAAAGTGCAGTGCCTTTGCCAGTCTGAGAGGCTGATCTAGGCCTGTGTTAAAGCTCCTGGATGCACCAGGAACTGCATGCTGCTGCTTGCGACCCACACCAATGTGCAATGGGTGTCACAGGTGAATCCATACTGTGTAGTGAATCAACCCCAGTGCATCCCTTCCACAAGCATTTCTTCACTGTACACATTTCAATTGCTTATCGAGTATGTTATAAATGTGGATAGAAAACTGCATCAATTGTGTTCAAAAATGTTTTTATCAGGCACAGTATTGTTCCAAAAGCTGCATTATGAGACTTATCCTGCGCCTACAGAATAGGTGGATAAGTAAGGTAAACCTGTCAACCTCATGCAATTACTTTTCGCTGTTATCTGTGGGCTGTGAGATAATTAAGCTAGCTGTGAAGGACTACCAAAAGTCACACTATAGCATTTTAAAATGGTGCATTTCAGATTTCTGAGAAAGCCATTTTCCATTCACTGTGAAGATTAGCCCACATTTTATTTATTTTTGTCCTTTCATATTTTCAAAGTTATTTTTCTGGTAATTTTTCTATTTTGTGCTTCCCTGCCCTCTGAAGAGCTTGGCAGCTCTCACATGAAACACAAGACACCCTTTTGAGTCACTGCATCAATTATACCCACCAGTCTGGAATTTTCTTTCTCTATGCCTTTGTAGTTTCCTTCTAAGTTATGGCTCTCATTTTTCATTCCTGCTTCCCTTTTATTTTCACATCGTTTGTACAGCCTTATGAAGTTAACTGACATTGAATACTGAAGCTTAATGGCACTGCAATGCTTGTGGGATCCATTAAGCAAAACCAGCTTTCTGCAGTGTTACCAGTATGAGATGGTTTCATCCTGATTAACGTGCCTTCACTTGTCATTTTTCTCGTTAATGTCTTGCCTTTTTAAATCTGTTTTGCAAGTTATAGTCTTCAGCTTCTTCATGTTCAAAACTTAAAACTTTTTATATTCTTATGCCTCCAGAATGTCTTAGATTATGATTTTAATGGCTGTTACATGCATAAATGTAAAAAAAGTTTTAAAAAATCTGTTTTAAATTGTTATACCATGCCCACAAAATATACTTATGTTTCTTTTTTTCCCACCTTTTCTTAAACAACAGCATCTTGAGATTGCTTATACAGATCTTGTACAGAGATCATGTTTCGCATGATAAACTCCACCAGAGTCCAGGCCTAATTGTCTGTGACATTTAAAGGAATAATAAAGTTTTAACGTTTTTGTCTTTCGTTTTGTGCATTGAAAAGGTGGCACTTTAAAGGTGATAGCACCTGCAATGCTCTGACAGAGGCAGAAAAGGCTGTCGTTGTCAGGGCCTCTGAGAGGCCTGTAGCACCTATACCAGTCCCCGAGGGACCAGGCTCACGCTTACTCAAGAGGCTAACTGGGAATGCTTATCCAGTCCTTGACCTCCTTGAGAACTTGCCCAGGAAAGGTGCTGAGTTGCTGACAGTTGTGATGGGAGTTTGATGAGGTGGACATCTTTCTCCTACGGACTGGGCTGAGAATTCCAGAATTTCTTTTATCTCATTCAGCCCCTGAACAAGCAGTGGATGAAAAGGCCATTGAATTTCTCCTAAGCTCAATGGAAATGAAGCTGGCAAGGAAGAGATGAAAGGTTTCATGGCCAATTGCAAATCCAGCGAGCCAACCGACCCCTGCTGCTTGACTGTTTAACTGACACAGCTGTCCTCCTTTCAGCAGAGAGAGAGACTCAGTGCGGTGGGCTCTCCCTCAGAGCACTGTATGACACTGCCTTGCTCCCCATTCACTGAAACAAGCCATGTGTGGGGACCAAAGACAATGCCAGTGTCCCCTTTTCAATTAGTACTTCCCTCATTGTTTTTCTCCTGAAAAAGTTGAAGGCTCTGTCTTGCAATACAATGGCTCAATAAACAACATATACAGGGTTTCTAGTCTGAGTTGTAAACAAGTAACAAAAAAGGAATTGTATTTAAAAGAGCCATTGATGTTTTGGAGTTAGTAAGTCTGTCTTAAGTTAGGGAAGCTTTATACATAGATGAGCCTCCTTTCTTTCAATGCTGACATTACGAATACTTTGGCTTCATGCCAAAAGTACCATGCTGCTCATCTGGTCAGAAAGACTTGGATAGGGCAGTAAATAAGAAAAGAGGTGACTTAAATTGCCTTTATATTTTCTATTGAAAAACAGGGAGATACAAAAGGATGTGTTACTGTTGCTCAGAAATGAATGTGTTTCACCTTCAATGCAAAAGAATGACGTTGAATGAAATGATTAACAGTGTACATAATTGCTTTTATAAAATATTGCAATCCCGTTTTCTGATGTGATGGAGTGAGGTGGCAAATGTTTAAAAAAACACTGAACAACAAACGCAGACTTTAACTGCTCTCTGTAAGAAGCCATCTTAGAGACATTTTTCAGTTTTAGCACATCACATTAATTCTTTTTGACAGGTTTACTTCACATCTTAAGGCTCTGCATCATGTGAGGGCTGTTGTTGTTACGGACATCTTCAAGGAAGCTTCTTTTTTTTAATTCTGTCATAAGAGCTTCCTATCTGTATTAACGTGCCGCTGTTGAACAGCATCCTAAAACGCTTAATCTGTGACCATTTTTATGTCAAGGAATCTCAGAAAAATGAAGGTGTTGTTGTCAGATAACCAGTCAGCTTGTACACACTGCAGTGGCAGTACATGAGGTGCCACTAAGCCTTTTTTAACTCTGACTCAGCAGTTTGAATCTGATCAGCACAAACGAGGCAATGAATTCTAAAATGAATTTAAAATTGAGAGTCAAATGGGGACATTTTAACGGTGCACATCTATAGAGATCTAAATTGACCTGCCATGTATTGTCTTTATATTGTTACTGTACCAGCCTTGACCAGAGGAAGTCTTTCTAGAACAACAAGCATCTTGACAGCATATATTCAGCGTACACACCATTGTCTTCTTGTTGGCAGCTCCCATACTGCAGGAGGATAACTGATGACGTGACATTAACTAGAGAGAGGTTAATTAAAAATCCTTCTCTGGTTCACTGAAGAAAAACAGCAGCACAACAGTGACAAAAAGGATTTGCTTTTCCAGCCTTGGAAGGATGTTATTTTCCATTTAAATCTCTGCCCATTTATTTTTGCTTAATGTATTCTATTTTAATTTACCAGAATTTTTGAAGCCTTTGCTGCATGTCTTTTGTAGATGTAATTTTCATGCTTTCTCACTTATTAATTAAACGGGCCTGACCACCAGTTGTTGAGATGGTTCGGTTGACAATGGGATTATCATCTTTCAGGCATACTTGCTGTGAATATTCTCAGTTTGGCAACTGGGGCTGTTTTTGTGTTTTCCTTTGCAGTGCTTAGCTACCATTAAGACGCTTCAGTCTCTCGGAGCTCCGCTCATAATAACACTGTTACACTTTCTGATTTTCCAAGGTCACAAACCTTAATATATCTATTTTGTACACATTTTGCAGGGGATCACTACGATGATGACCACCTCACTGTAGATCCCAGTGATTATTTCAAGACTGGATTTCAAGGTAATATATAGTATATATATATATTCCTTCCTATGAAAGATGCTTATGATACTATTTTAACAATATTTTAAATAGTTCTATCACTGTGTATTCGTTGAATAGTTGTCATCATTAAGAAACTTGTCATTGCATTGGTGCAAGACTCTTTTTCTGCCTTTCTTATTTGCCTTTTTAATGTTTTAAAATACTCTTCCAAGAGTGAGCTATGGGGTGCTGAGACACACTGCTTTGCTCCTACTGTGTGCTCCCTTATAAAAGCTCTTTAGGAATCTGTGCCTGGAAAATCATAGAAGAAGCACGAGTAACAATTTACAGAGCCATGACAAAGAGGAAGTAAGCAGATCGCTTGCGGCATGATCTGATATGCATTGCTTTTTCTAACCTATATGAACATGTTCACAGGTGTGTGCTCTGTCTTTACATAGAATTAGCCCAGAACAGTCCTATCTACATGATCACAGACAGCCTTTTTGCATTTAGGAAATCATCAACATAATGGTGCTGATCCAATGCCATTTTAATAAAGGCAATTTCCTGCTTTTTTGTTATCCCAAATTTCTTTTAGAACAGATTCTTACTTATTAAAAAAAAGGCAGAGCAAAAAAAAAACAGTAATGAATCCTTTTGTGCTTCCTGTGAAAGGAAGTGAAGTCAGGTTTGCCACTGTCCCAACCCCACATCTCCCCGTTCACACAAGTGCATGTGGAGTATGGAAGAATCCGTCCTCCTGCTCTCGTTTTTAAAACTCCACAAAAAAATTCAGCCTTGGAGAGTGTGTAGGTGTGTCTGAAGAAATGATATTGGGGTATTTCCATTTGTGAGGTGGTCTGTGTCTTGGAGAGCACTGAAACAATACAGCTGTCAGTGAGGAAAGCCAAGCAGCTAGAGTTCAGGTGCTGGGGAAAAATGGTGTCATCGCTTTCTAAAAGGAATGGGGGAGCTTGTTTTCGCAGGTGTTGTGCAGTCTGGCAGCTTTTTGGATTGGAGTTTTTTTTATTTTGATGAAGATCTTGAAATGAATGTGCAGAGGTGCCACAGTGGACCAGGTTTCAATGGAGCACCTGGCTGTCTCGTATGTGCTGTTCTGCAAAAGAAGCGTCTCCTTCCTTTGTTCCTGAAGAACAACAGCTGATATGTAGGCTGTCATTCCATCATCTTGATAGCGAAGTGAAAGGAAGACAATAGCTGTATGATTCCCCAGATAACTGCTTTGAGACAGTAATCTAAGTCCTGTTTACAAAGGTAATAGCTCTATTTCCTTTAACTCAACTCTGTAAATGAAAGAAAATGGAACAACGTGTTTACCTACGTTAATAATCATCAGGGAGCACACAGACAAGGAAACACTTTGGTTTACACATTCTTTTGGATGAGAGATCAAAAGTAAATAACATTTAGTGTGTCTGATACAAGGGGAGGCTGCAGCCTTTGTTTACTCACACACTAAACTGAGATGTTATGACCACACTAATAAATCATCAGGATGTCTTCTCTCCCTGTAAAGGCTGGGGGAGCTACGCCAGTTACACAACATACTGTAGTGTTAAGCAAAATCTGAGCCCTTGTTGTACAGTAGATCTTGAATAACATGTTGAATTACATTTTCCAGTCCAAATCCTGTATTTATCTGGTGCATATGTGGGATATGATTGCAATATTAAATATATTGATAAACAAATAAGTTAACCTTCATTGGTATGAAAAGGAATTCAAAAACACATGTGTTTTAAAGATAGGACCCACACATAAAAAAAATAAATAAAAATCAGTGTTACATCAGCCCAAATTAGCTATTTATAGTCAGAATGATTCAGTGTTTCCCTTTCAGTACTTTATTGTTTTGAAAACAAAAGTTCAGATGCACACTTAATAAGATAACATCTGGCTTAGAGGTTAGGTGGGGCTGCTCAGGCAAGGACAAGGATCACCCCACCTGCCCTTTGAAAACATTCAGTCAGGACCTTTCATATCAGCAGACACCAAGGAACAGCTGATAATTTTAACTGCTTAGGAAACAGGCAGCTTCTGGCGGTTATAAAGCTCTGCCCACAACAAAGTCAGCAACAGATAAGTTCTTCTTTGTTGTCCTCCCTGTTACTTATAGGAAGCATATGTTTATCTGATAGCGGTGTAGCCACTTGTAGCCTGATCTCACCCGATGTCCGAAGCTGAGCTAGGCTGGTCCTGCTTAGTGCTGGGTTTGGAGACCTCTAAGAAATCCAGGTTTCTCCTGCAAGGGGTGTACAGTAGGTGGATGAGTTGTGTGGCTCATCCTAATCCCACTGGACTAGAATTTCCAAAGAAATGCCCCATTCTGGTGACAGTAGACACTGTGCTGTTGGAAGAGACATTCTCCAGGTGAGATGGACAACCAGGGTCCCTACTGCTTGGCCCTCGGTGATCCCCTGGCACTGCTGGTAGGAGGGGGAGGGTTGTTAGCTCCCGTGTCCTGTGGCCTTGCACAGTTTGGCTTAATTACAGTTTTCATCTAGTTCAATAACTGTACTTTAATTAGATATCTCCATGGGCATGTGTAGGCTGCAAAGAAACAGGTAAAAGTTAATTCCATGCTGAAAGGACAAGAAATGAAACACAGAGTAGCAATATCTTTATAAGTCTTTTGTCAAAAGTGTGTACAAAATATTTTAAATGACGTCTTATCTGTGTGTCTTACAATTTTAACTCATCCTCACTTGATTTTAATACTGTGTAACATTCTGTATTTGTCCACATTAAAAACGATTGGTCAGGTGTTTGTCTAGTCTTGGAATTTTGTCTAAGAAAAAGTTAATTTCCTTTGTAGCTTCTACAGTGTTTGTTAATCTTACTGTGGCATCATCTGTGAATTTGGTTAGTTTACAATTAATCAACAATAGCACTATTAATTGATCTAAATTAGGAAGATTCGGGGTCCTTATACAGATCCATGTGGTATTCCCATGATGATATCACCCCAGTTTGAGCATTCCCCCCTTCTGTTTCCATCCATTCATCACCGTTCAATCCAAATACATGCGTTACTTTGAATGAAGAACACATGCAGTTTTAATACTAATCTCTTATGATATATTTCCTATTACAATTAGTAGTATAATGCCTTAGAGATTTGTTTTTATCTTAACTTCTTGTACCTGAAGAACATTCTCGTATGTCAGAGAGCACTACAACTCTCAGCTTCCTTCTGTGTCTGAGGGCCACTCCAGTGTAGTAAGTGTTGCCCATTCCGGTCCCCGGGAAGAGATGGCTCCGGTGTTCTGTCAGTAGGGAGCTGAGGGTGGCTTAAAGGAAATGAGCAATTCCTTTTTTATCTCTGTTATGTGCTTCAATTTTCATTTTTCTTCCAATTCCTACTACAGCATGCCTTTGGAGAGACGTATTTTCTTTGATACTTGTATATAAGGAGAAGACGCCATCTAGCTTGTTAGGTTTCCTGTAGCTAATCGATCCAAGGGTCCTATCCAGTCTTTTCTTGAAAGAAGCCAGGGCATGTCTTCAGTGAACCTGGCACGGAGTGTGCTGGTGTACAGGGCATGTCTTGATGCATGCCTTTTATCCACATTCACATGTGAACTCTCATCCAGGAATACTCCTCTTGGATAAGAGAGAAGCATTTCTGGATGAGAGAGAGTTCAGCTGATTACAGAGGGCTGTGCAGTAAATCCAGTGAACAGGGAAAAACGCAACAGATTTGTGAGTCTTTGCTTTGTCAGCTGCACATAAGCCTCAGGACTACCAAAAACACAGAATTCAAGCATGAGAATTTGCCAGCTGGGGGCAGGGTGAAGAAAAACTCCAAATGGTTATACAGGTAAATGTGTCAGTGTTCACGCTGGTGTGTCTCTGCTCTACCTCATGCGTAGCTAATTCTCTTGGCTTGTGGTTCAGAGAAGCACATGGTTGCTCGCATGGCGAGTGAGTAAGAGGAAATCATCTGGGGCTGAATCACTGTATGCCTCAGGAAACCTATCTTAGGCCAGGAAAGGCATGAGCACTGTCCTGTGTTCCCCAGTTTAACAAAATGGTGGAATTGCATTGATGACAAGAGAGGTGTGCGGTGTCAGACCATGACATCGTAGAATTTTTCATTATTTTCAGTCCCGCCAGTGTGCAGATTAGTGCAAAATAAGGCACAGTTCCGCTTGGGAATTCCTAACTAAGAAGGACAACGGATGATTTCCGTGTAGATTATATTTTTAGGGAAACGGCTATATTTCTGTCCACATTGTCTGAACTGCCATTAACCGTGTTGTATAGAAACAGTGTCCTTTTGATGTGAAGGTGTGAGTGTGTTTATGCATGTGTATCTCCCCAATTGCTTTGGCAATGATATTGGAATCCAGCACAGCTGTGAAAATGTGTAAGGCTCAGATTGAGAGTGGATTCATTGCCTTTGCAGTTGCACTTCAAACACTTGGCAGTGCACTTGCAGTCACGGCGGGCCCAGGGGAGCCAGCAGAAAGGGCTGTGCAAGCTTAAAATTAAAGCAGCTGTTGGGACGCTGCCATTCTGAGGCAGCCGCACTGGAAAGTATTATCACATGTTTTTTTTCTTATTTATTCTGATAAAGGAGCGGTCTTGTTTGGGGATTTTTATGAGAAGCCGTTTTTCCGTTCTTCGCCCAAGCAGGAGAGATTCAGCTCGTCTGTTTCATGTGCAGCCAAGAGTTGTTTACTTTTAGTTTCAGCTTCAAAGCCTTGTGCTAGCCGGAGCATCTCTCATATTTCAGGCTGTTTCAGAGGCCGGCTCCTGTTTTCGCACGTCTGTCGGCCGTGTTTGGTAGCCATAGGGCTTTCGAAATAGAGCTTCGTTTTCATCAGCCTCTCCTGCAATGGGCAGAGTGGCTCTCCGCTGTCATTCCTAACCATGGGAGCTTCAGACATCTTTAACAGTGAGAACATGCTTGCAGGTTTGCACCAGTAACGCCCAGGCTGAATATCACAGGCTTCTTTTTTAACTAGAGCTGTGAGGGAGTCTCCTTCAGACCACTATGTATTGAGAACTGTCCTGGGATTATAGCATACTACAGATATGTTCATTTAGGGTTCAAAATGTTTTACAAAATGCTGTTATTTCCAAATTTACAGAGGGTAAGTGAAGCACTTCACAGTATTTGTTTCCTCACCTTCTCTGTGATATTTGTTTTCTTTGAAATGATTTGACATTCGACATTGAATCTCATTTTATAAAAAACAAACAGGATGAGCGGTAGGCCAAAAGAGGACTTATGAATCTTAAAAGAAAAGCATTTAAAAGGAGTCGGGAGGTGAGTGGATCGGCTGTGGGGGTTACTGAGATCCAGCTCATTGGAGAGAATCTGCCCCAGTTTTTGAGGTCAGACAAGTCCACTGGACAGCCCTCAGCCTGCCTGATGTCTGCTGCCTTGCGCTTGTGATCTCGCCACAGGAATGGACGCTGGGCCTTGCTCCCTGCCTCAGCTCGCGCCTGTGGAGGAGGAGCCATCTGCCAGCCTGAGCGCCGAGGAGGGGGACGCAGACTCATCAGGGACAGATGTGTTTTAACACCCCGAGCTGCAGTTTCTCCCCTCGGGACTGTCTGTTGCACTTTGTTTTCTGACATTACTGATGAAATTATACAGGGTTTTACACCTCCTGTATTCCACTCATGTACTGTCTTTCTTATTTGTTTTGTGTTGCCTTTTGTTTTACAATTGCAGTGGTGTGTTTGAAGCAAATCAATGAATGTGATTTCATTCTGTTTAAAGAATTTGTCCTGAACCAATCATTACAGATAAATATGGACATATGAGTTACCATTTTATTGACGATATTTTTATAAAGAATAGCTGGAGCTTCAAATTGATTGTTGAAGTTCATATTTATTCATGTTGAGAATTCTGCAAGTTTGTATGAAAAGTGTCTTAAAAGTTTATACATTGCATGTATGTGCTTTTTATTGATTTTTTAATATTTTACAAATAAAATTTGTTTAAAAAGTATTCCACTTTAACTGTGCACTAACAACATTTTACTACATTTTTATATTACATGTGATGCATTTCAGTCAATCCGTTTATCAACTGTTTAAGCCAGTTAAAAATTAGATGATTAGTATGTCTGACCTTGGACTTAATTCCTGTTAATCTCTGTCTATAGGCAGATGTTGAAACAAGAATTAAAGGTGGCAATATCATGTACTACCAAACTGTACTTAACATGATAGGCTCTTTAATTATGTAGAGGTGTGTGTGACCTACCGTAGATCTAGGGATTTTAGGGTTTAGAGGTGAGAAGAATGCCTTTGCATTTGTCTTGGGAGCTGTATGTATCTTCCCTAACATAAGCTTTTACTAAAATATTCCTGGACGTCAGTATAGGATGCAAGTTAGAGAGCATCTGATGCCAGCAGCTTGGCTAGTGAACATGTTATTTCACTTGCAAGAATGCCAACAAGTCATTTCTGGACAAGTTGTTAAGATGTGCAGAAATAACAGAGTGTGCTGAGACTGGCCTCCCAATAACCAACCCTGTAATTCAATCTGTAATTACAGCGAATGGTGCATAACAAACTAAGGGGGTTACCACTTTAAATAAAGACGCCTGACTTCAGTTAGAACATGCCATGGAGCCCGGCTTTGTTTTTAATGGCTACAGCAGGAGGCATAATGCAGGAGAAAGAGTGATCGGCCTTGAAGATAAGGCGCTGGGAAAAGGAGGTGTGTGGCGGTGGTGGGCAGGTCATGGAAAGATAAAGCTTACCGGGATACACTGGGGCAAGGCTTCAGGATGCACAGGCCTCAACACTGTCCCGATGACCAGAAATGGTCCCGCAGAGAAATGGCTGTCCTGAAAGCTGTCTGCTACTCATTCGGACATGCTTGTCAGCAAACCAATTCTAGCAAGTCAGTCAGGAAATCGGACCTTCAAAAGAGGGACTTTAGTCACTGACAGACGATCGTGCACTGAGGGTGTTACGTAACTTAGCATTTATTTTAACTCCTTCTTCCTCATCGAAGGCTTTTGAAATCACCAGGTGGCATCCATGGATTCATTGCTTGCAACCCCTTGATCAATCTGCGATTGTGACTGAGTGTCATCATGTGGGAAATTATTTCTAATGACAATCTGTGGTTTGGTGCAGCTCTGCTTTTAAAGGGAAATTCATGCAGCAGGTCTCAAGATTCACTGCGTCTCCATTTTCATTGTTAATACCAAGCACCTTCACACTCAGCATTCAGGTATTTCCCATTGACTGTGTTGTCCAAACCCAATTAGATAATTTTCTGGAATTCTCTTATTGCTTTTGGGTTTTGTATCCTTTAGCAGGAAATAGTATGGTAAAGCAAAAGTACTTTCTTTAATTAAAGAAATATGTTTTAAACAGCCTTTTAAGACATATAACACAAAGGCTTGCCTTAAATCGCTGTCTATCAGCATATGTGTTGTTTTCTCAAAACATACGCCGCGAGGAGTGCTGTAAGCTCATGTGTAGTATCTGTCAGTGTTTCTGAGCCCTTTGGGCTTGAGTCAGTCCAGCTGTTAACAGCTTCCAGATGTGAAACGCAGGAAGTATAAAGAAGTCAAGCATGACATTGAGCACTCTCCCCTGCAAGTACTAGAACAATAGCAAGAACTCGGTGCAGTGGTCCTGAAGACTTCAGATACTCTGCACAATGAAAACGCCAATAATGTGCCCCGGAATACCTACATGTCTGTCTCAGTAGCCCTTCTCTTGACAACACTGAGGTTCTGAATGTTTTTCTCTAAGAGGTAGCACGAGGTCAATAAAAGGCAGTGAAACACTCTTGAGGGCTACATGGGGAAGTTCGACCAGCTCATACTGCCGCAGGTAAAGGACTGCCCTAGATCTCAACAGCGGTGCTCTGTGCTGATTTTATTTCTCATTAATGGTGAGATGCATTGTGTGTGTTTTCCAAAATAATTTACTCTTAACATTTCAATAAAAAGCATTGCTAGTGTTGAATAAAATCATTACTTTTTGCAAAACGCTAAGGAAAATGACAGCTTCCTGTACAATTCTGTACAGACATATATTGTTTATATAATTTATGTCCTTATGGTTTAGCCCTAATCATAGATTAATGTTTTAATTTTGTATTAAAGAATACAGTCCTGTTTTTCACAAACTGTTCAAACAATTCAGGCAAAAATGAGTGCAACAATAGTTGTCACATTTCCACCCTGTAAATGAGTAATTGAACCCATACTTTAATTACCTTGTAGCTATGAATCTTTGTACCTGTACAATACTCTACAGGTATCTTGAGTGAGTGTATGTAAAGGCTCAAATGTCACATACTAGGGTATTAAGGATTTAACTTGCATTGCTCCTCATTAAAAGCCTTTTTAAATGTATAGTTGCAACAAGCAGACGTGCAATGTTAAACACAAGATTCAATTAAGTGTGATTCTGAATTGTAATCTTTCCTTAACTAAATTATCGCTTTCCTTAACAAGATATTCAATCACATCATGAAAGTTTTAAGTTGCATGTACAGTATGCATGCCTGTGAGTGGAAAGGTAAATTGTACCCTGAATAAAAAACATTTCCTTTTAATTCTTTTGTACATTTGCAGAAACCCCCATTTGGTGTTGAAATGTGATTCTTACAGCTGAAATCCCTTTAATTATCACATTATACAAGTGGCCAGTCTCCAGAGATGACAGTGCTATAATCCAGATAACCTAAAATGAAGAAAGAAAATAGAGGATTCATTGTCATGTTGTGTGGCTGATTTAATAAAGGAATTAAATCCAGAACAATTGCATGCGGCCTTGTTAGTCATTCAAACATGCAGCTCCATTACATAATTCATATGTAAGATTCATAAATACATTTCTGAATCTTTATACCTGCTGTCCATTTAACCCTGTGAGACCAGAGAACTGAGCCAATTAGAAATATTTTGATATTACTGCATACTACAGTATATGTGCATAGTGTCTTCTCAAGATTGAACTGCATGTGCATGATCTTTTTTAGACATCTTCAAATAAGGGAAGTTTTAGAATCAGTGTGGGTTTTTTTTATAAAAGTAAGAATGTGCTGTAAATATCTAAAACCGAGACAACTGTAGGTGATTTTGAGGAATAAAAACTGTGTCCCGTAAGTATAGTATTCATTCAGAAGGTGCTTTAAGCTGTGCACAGAACATTTCTTATTTCCTTTGTTCTTGGACTACATCTTCGCAGATTCGGTATGCCTGCTCTGAGCAGTAAACCTGCTAATTGGAATCCGGAGGCATAATTTCCTCACAGAGTCCTGCAATTATAATGGATCTTGCCAGGGAAAATGCAAAAAAAAAACAACCAGTAAGGGCACTTGAGTGTTATCCAAAGCGCTACACTTAATGCAACAAAAAAGTGTTACTGTGTCTTTTTCTTATTCCAGGAAATAAGAAAATGAATTGTGTCACCTTGTACATACAAGGCGACGCTTCCCCACGCTGCGATTAATTAGAAAGGATGCAGTTCTCACCCACACCTCCCAGACAGATGGAGTTTGTCTGTCTGAGTTCATGCAAATCAGCAGAGGCCTTCACACGTCTGCCAGGACGCCGGTGCTGAGACTGGAGCGGCAGTGTGGTGACTGTGTGGAGGCCCGTGACAGAGGCAGGTATTGATACAAAGGTAAAGAGCGATTGTCACAGCGCAGGGATATGGGGCAGAGGTTTCCTACTGGCTTGACAGCTCAGGCGTGCTCTGCGGATCAGCCTCTGAGGGGGAGGCAGCCAGTGATTATTGCAGACTTCACCTGAGTGGATTTCACAGGAATTCATCGTATCCCATGCAGCCCTACTACATATTGGAGCTGACACAAAAAGTGAGAAACTGGTGCACCAATTGAAACAAGGTGGAATTTTAAGTAGGCCAGATTATGTTGAAATGTAACCTTGGTGTAATGTCTTATCTGAAGGAAAGCACCTCTAGTGTCAATCCCCCAGTTTAGCCTTTGTGAAGGCTTGTGCATTTATTATACTTTATCAGAAAATGTATACTCAGGGACAGATATTTATATTATGTTCCCTGATAATTGCGAGTATTAGACCAATGACCTTATTGGTTATTTTCTTTCCACAAGTTTTGCTTCAACAACCCTTTGTGTTACTGATTTACAATGATTCACAACGTTGTCAGTATACAGTATGCCTTTATATTGTCTTGACAGCAGTCCTACTGCTTTCTAGGCGGAATGCACCAGATCTCAGAAGCTAAATGATGCCAGTCCCGGTCGGACATGGAATGGGATAGCTCTAGAGGAAAAACAGGTTGCAGTCAGTCAGTGGCTTTCTTCCCTCTGGACTAGAATTAGCAAGCCAGTGCCCCAGTATGATAACTGGGTACACTGTGCTGTCCTTCATACGAGACCTGGGGTTATTAAAGATCACGTGGCACTATTCACAGGAGGAGGTGTGCTCACTAAATTCCCCTCCTGACTTGTTCTCTCTCCTCTGCCTGATTTGCTGTGTTGAGGGGTTGCTGAAACACAGTACTGGGGGCTTCAGTGGTGGATGAAGCCAGGCCTCTCCTATCTATAAAGTGCTATGACATCCTTCAGGATGAAAAGCATTGGGTAAATGCAAGGAATTATAATTATTAAATAATTTAATTTTAATATTTCATTTTACTTTGTGGATATAAAATCTTATTCTTTTTTTTCCCTGTGAAGATTTGAGTAAACCTGGACAGCAGTGTGTATTCATTCCCCGTCCTTGGCTGTAGTGAACTGAGCTTAGTGTCTGGCACAACAGCTGTTTCCAGATGTTCCTGGAAAAGATTCCTCCACTATTGTCTGCCTAATTACTGTATATCACCTGAGCTGGAAGATTCTGGAGTAGAGGAAAGACTATGAGAGCAAGTCAGCTGGAGGAGCAGAGTTAAGTGACATTAAATAGGAAATATTCAGCCCAAAAGAA